AGTGGAGGGGTAATGGTTTGGGCTTATTTTGTAGCCATGGGATCTGGGCAACATGAAGTCATTGAGTTGACCATGAACTCCTCTGTATACCAAAATATTACTTAAATATGAGGCTGTCATGCAGCTAAAGTAGCTGAAACTGAGCTATACAACAGGATAATGATCCCCAGCAGAGCAGCAGAATAGTTGATAAAGAAAAGGATCTATCTGCTGGGCCAAGTCACACTTCAGACTTCAACCTGATTGAAATTGAGTCCTTAAGAGAGAAGTGCATAACAAATGCCCACAAACCACAATGAATTGAAGCAACGTTATAAAGAAGAGGGCGCCAAAATTCCTCTATAATGACGTGAGAGACTGAAAAATACATACAGCAAACAGTTAATATAGCTGCTAAAGGTGGTGCTAAAAGCTGTTGAATCGTGGGGTGTAATTTTAAGACCTGGTGAGAACTTGATGTTGATTTGCTGTCATGTCCTAACATGTAAAACCTGGAAAAACTGGCAGAGGCTGTACATTGGCTGTATGGCTGCCAGGGGAATGAAGGCAATAATGTTTACTGATGATGTGACTGCTGACAAAAGTAGCAGGATTTGTGAAGTGTACAGGGTTATGCTCTCTGCTCAGATTCAGCCGAATGGCTTATGACCTAAGGCATGCTGCAAAGGTTTTCTCATGGCAAAGAAGTTGACTGTTCTTCAATTATCAGGTCAGCTGCATGTATACTTTTTCAGGTATAACACTGGGATAAAAATACTGTATGAGCATGTTAGCATGCTAATGCTAGCCTTTTGATAGACCTGCTGCCATGGTTACATGATGTTCTCTTGTCGTTTACTTACCTAACCTAATATGGTAAATAGAGTTTTTAATTTGATGATTTCACATGTGTTTGAAATAGAAAATTAAATAAAAACTTCTTTTTTATTGGAAACAGCCTGAGGCTGATGCATGTAGGTACAGAAACCAGTAAAGAAGTACACTTACTTTACGTGGGGTACGCACTTAATGTCATCAAACACCCACATGTCTGTTGCATGTGTCAACAAACAAACAGCTTCATCCTGCATTAATAGTGAAGGTGCTTCTGGGTTAAAGTGTAACTGTTTATAGGCTCCCGCTCTGAACCACTTCTCTGTACCGCTGCAATGAAGCAATGCTGTAAGTGCTATTGAATTTGCATGGCTCACAATGAGTAATCAGTTGTGTCTGAATTTGCATCAAATGTTCCTCCTGCTCCCACACCTGTTTAAACAGGAGCCCGCTCCTCCACTTTATGGTTTTATACAAATAGTGTAATTAGGGAAAAAAACGGGAAAGGAGGCAGAGGATAATTGGCAGGGCAGATGAGGACATGGTAGTGATACACGCAGTTTCGCCAAAGATGTCTCTGCAGCTGCTCCTAACAAATATTGGATCTTCAAAATGCACAATTGTCATGAAAAAAAAACTGAGTAAACAGGTTTCCAAGCTGCTGCTCAGGCATTCTAGCAAATAACGAGCGCTCGTCTCTCCTCGCATTTATTACGAGGGAACAGCAAGGACATTTGTCCTAAAGGAAGGGCAGGTTGAAAAAGCTGTTCCGGGTTTTCAAGGCTGAGATCAGCACTGAGCCAAAAAACATGTTTTTAACTGTCTGTTTTTAACCGTCATGCATTGAGATATTTTGCATGCTATTTGAATTCAAATTCAAACCTCAAAATTCAAACATAATTTTTTAGAGAAACACAACAACGCTACCTAGCTAGGTAGCGTTAGGACTGGAATAACAGTTGGAATGATGTTGAGCTCAAAATATGAGATGTGACAGAGTTGAACTCAGGTAGTATTTCACACCTGACTGGTTCATGAAATAAAATCAGAGACAGCATGGGGTGGGGTGGGGGGGGCAATGATAAAAGATACCAATAGTTCAGTTTTACTCATTATCCACTCTGCAGGAGGTGGTTGATTTATTTTTACCCATTCTTTTGCACTTTAGCCAATATTAGCATTCCTAAAGTCCTATAATCTTCTACCAGGCTAAAGTCAATGGTACTAACACAATATATGGTCAGTGATTTTAAAAAGATTCCATACCTTTTCTCACAGTGTCCATCACAGTGGACAGGTACTCAGAGGCGTCTTGTTCACTAGAGATCTGCGTGCACTCATCACGGTTCAGAGGCACCAGCTCTAGCAGGGGGTTCAGGCTCTCCACCCCACATAGCAGAACCACCACATGAGCCGCAGGACTCAACACGCGCCCCAGGAAGAAGCGTTTCGTCGGGCAAAGACCCTCCAGCAAGCCCTTGGAAAGGATTAGGAGCTTGCAGGTATACTGGACGAGCCTCAGGAAATCACCCTTCAGACTGGTCGCTGCAGCAATGTCATAGCAGCAGATCCCAGCCTCTGAGATGGGACCAGTGAAAACTGATTGTAGGTAGGTAGCCCATTGCTTTGCCTCAGTGTCGTAGACGATCAGCAAATCCCCAGCTATATGAAGAAAAAACTTTATGGTTTCAGTATTTTATGAAACAACATAGCAAAATTATCTAGACTTTTCTGGAGCTTCTCTTTATTTAAATATATAAAAACAAGTGAAATACAGAAATTATTGATCTGGTGATGACAACAAAATCAATCAAAAAGCATTAACTACAAAAACCACATACTACACAATCATTTTTCACTATCCAAGATAAAATAGATGCAATAATGGGCTAATTAATAAATACTATGAAAAAGTAGCCTACCTGTGTGGCTCATGTCTGTGGTGCTGCTTGTGTGCAAGGCTGACTTCACAGTAACTGGATGGCTATTGTCAGGAGGCGTGCAGATAAGAGGCTGTTTCCGTGCCAAAGCAGACAAAGACTCAGCTATGATGACCAGGAAAAAGTTAGGCTTTGATGTTTTGCTTAAAATATAAATAGTTGCTTGATATACGCTATGAAGTTAGTCCAATTGAGAAGTTACACAACTTTTTACTTTTTGTCCTTTAACGTGATTTGAAATTTCCCAACAGACCATAAGGGATAAGGACATCAGAGGTTTAGTTTTGCTCTTAAAGTGATGCTGACACCATAAAAGCTGGCGTGTTGTGCGTAAAAGGGAGTTATAAAT